TCATGATCATTCTCATTGAATTGAGGCTGGGACTTCTTTATGTTATTTAATAACTCTTGTGCTCGACTAGAATCAGTGGCAGGACTAGATGCTCAATAAGACAAAGAAGAACTAGGTATGGACTTTCGTTTCGATTGAAAAAATCTCTCAATAATCTGCAAAATGCCCCAATTTATTTTTCAATTAAAATTGATTAAAAATAGTCCACACATAGTTTAATTCAGCTCAACATCTTCTTCATAAATTTTTTTCACTTATCCCTAATTTCCTAAAAACCTAAATTCTCAAAATCCCCAAGTTTCAAAATCACCAATATTCTTAGATTCTCAAATTCACACCATCCCCAATTTTCAAATTCATAAAATTCAACAATCGTAACAGCCCAAAATATAATTCAATACATACGATTCGATAAATCAAAAATCACAGTGCACTGTGCACATTTCACTAATTTCCCAATCTCCATTAATTTTTTTCATGATGTATCCCTAATTTCTAGAAAACCTAATTTCCCAAATTACAGTGCACATTTCACAAATCACAAATCAAAATTATATCTCAAGCAACTCGTAACCTCAGCATCACACAATAATAAATAACAAATTCACAAAAAAAGAAAAAAAAAAAAGAAACAAACTCAAATCAGTTCCCGGAAACCAAAAGACTTACCTCGCTTCACACTTCACTGTCTTCACGTCGAGGTTTCACCACCACCGCCACGGACACAGGCCGCGTTCACCATCGGAGGCAGCGGCGCAGTTGCCAGGCAGAGTCGCAGGCTCGTAGCAGCCAGCACCCAGTGTCCACTCTCTTCACGCCGAGGTTTCGTGACTCACGACTTCGTAGTTCGTTTCCCTCAGCTCCTATGCGATTTCAATTTCAAGCCAAACCTAAAGTTCTTCTGTTTTGTCGGACTGGATTTTGTGTAATTAATTGGCCCATTTAACTTCAAGACATGGTTTGGGCATTTTTTTTAAAGGCTCAAACTGCTAAAATAATTTTCTGGGCTGCTGCTGGCCTTCTTCTCCATCTTCCCGGCAGCACTGCAGGCGTTGCCACCCCGCTGAAGCTGAACTGCTGCTCCGGCGGACCCAGCACGGGCAGCCGCGGGGGCTGGCCAGGTACTGGGTCCGCCCCTGTAGGTAGCATGACTGGTGACCTTTCCGTTGAGATTGAACTACTATGTTGAACAATGTTACTTGAAGAAGTTAGGTTCCTGCCTATGATGGTTGGACCTGCAAATGGTGGCTCACAAATAACAAATTATTTGAACAACTTCGTCACATGTAATGTTGCCATGCCTTTCAGATTGAAATAATAACATAATAGTTCACATTGTAAACAATTAACGAAAGCCATCTTGAATTGAATCCACACCAAATACACACTTTCAATGGGATCACACCGTTTCAGAGATATAATAAGGAGAATTCATGGTGGATCAATACTTTCTCTCTCCTCACCAAATTTTAGAAACCAGATTACAACAATTTAAAATTGAACTCAAAATTAAATGCCATACATGATGCAACTCGAGTAGTGAAAAGTAACTTATAGAGAATTGCAAAAATTGAAAAAAAAATGTAAATTTTGCCATTTTAAATTCACACATGCAATCTGACTTTTCAAAGAAATGCCAACTTCGAACACAAATATATGCAAAATCTGAATCTAATATGCATATATAATAATTATAATATGATAGTTTATCATATAATCCCACTACTGGCAAAGAATTGCTTAAAGCACTTATTGTAAACAATATTTTAATCAGTGAAACCCAATTATACGTATTATCCTATACATATTACAATGTGAAAATTGTTTAAACACTAAAGTTCATTTCTTTTTAGGACTTTACTGTATGTACGGGGATACATACAACTTGAGAGAATGCCATGTGACATTTTATCATTGAACATGGCATTCTCTCAAGTTGTATGTATGCCAACACCGCATCTATAACTTGGACGAGGGACTTTCTCTGTACAAGTAGTTTAATCTTTCTTTTAAACACTCAATAGTCAGATAATATAATAAGCACGTGAACTAATGTTTGATCGTACTCTTCTAAGACGTAAGATATCAAATAGTAAATACTGAACAAGAAACTTCAAAAATAATTTGAACATTATTTTAATAGAATTTGAAGAGAGAATGAATTAGAAATCAATTATTTGGAGTTGATTTGGAGAGAAGAAGATGGAATTGGGAGGGTTATATTTATAGATTTTCACACGTTTCTTCGAATGAACGTATCTTTTGACACAAATTAAATTTAACAATTAGATCACACATTTTCATAATAAATGAGAAATGACTCAAGAATTGTGGCGGCATCATAGGTAGCATGACTGTTGACTTAAAGATCTTGAGAACTTGGGAAGTTTGTATTTAAACTTTTAACTTCACCGAATCTCCCAACATGCTCGAGAATCAAGAGCTGCCCAGTATCTCAAGCCATTGAGGTTGTCGTGGCAAGATTATTTCTAGCGGATAAAAACAAATAGTGATATAATTTGAAAATACAAACAGTGAAGATTTTCACGAAAATTGTATAATTTTCTATAATCATTATGCTAATGAAATAGTATCATAAGAATTTAAAAAATACCACGATATAAGAAAATTCTAAATCTTTAACACTAATTTAACATCAATAAGTATTTTTATTTATTTTTAAATCTTGGTGCCTAATCTCCAACATCCTCGAGAATCTAAAGTTGTCGAGGGATTAGACAGCCACAGAATCTTTAATCATTCTCAATGCATAAAAACATAATAGGATTTTTTGCTTTTTCACTCATTGATGTAGGAAAGATACATAAGGATAGCCATGTCAACAAGCTGAAACTCAAATCTCGAGCTCGGCTCGAGCAAAAAAAGTCCGAGCTTTTTTGGGCCTAAACCGAGCAAAAGCTTGGCCAAAAAAATGAGGCTCAGCCCGAGCTTTCAGCTCGAGCCTTAGCGGCCCAAGCCGACTCGTGTTTTTTTTTTAAATTCGTTATAAATCTACAATTTTTTATAATGTATTTAAAATTTGTGCAATTTATACGTATTATAATAATAACTAAATATTAATATTTAAAAAAATAAATCTAAACTTAAAAAAATAAAATAAAATAAAAAATAGCTCGGCCAACGGGCCGGTGACGAGCCCGGGCTGGCTCGGGCTCGGACCAATTAGATATTCCTAATATCACTAGGTAAAAGATACATAAGGACCATTGACGAAAATGTGGTTATAGTTAATCAACTATTTTATCGTTGTAGCTAAAATAAGTAATTTTAATTAAGTGGCTATGTAGGAATCCAGTATTGTCTGAAACCATTGATTTGAACACGGAAAACTTTGTCCTCGTCAAAAAGTGTACCATGCAAAAAAGTAACAAACCGTGTGGGGATTAATTTTACTTTTTATGCATGCTTTTTCAAGCTTTAATAATTCAAGAAACGAGCAGAAAAAAGAATATTACGCAATTATTCATTTTAAATTTTTCTTAAGTTGACGCGTAAAGATCATGCCAATGTTCACAAAAAAATGACCATTAATTAAGTGAATGACAGNGATCATGCCAATGTTCACAAAAAAAATGACCATTAATTAAGTGAATGACAGGTATACCACTCCTCTGCTGGGGTGTCTCTTATGGGGCTGTAAGCAAAAAGGAAATTTATCAACAACATTGATAACCCTCACAATTCTCGGATTAGGCTCGAACTTAGAGTTCACAAATATATTACATATATATTTATTTTTAAATTTCAGTTCTATCGTTAAGTGTGTCTATCTGTTGATCATTGAGTAAAACAATGTCCAAAATTGATCTCGCATGAAACAATGTCCATGACATTGTTAATCTTGTTTCTTCTACCAACAAATGATAGGATCATTTTCAGTGGAACTACTTGCATTACCCTTAACAGCTCTGCCCAGAACCCCAAAAATTAGGTTTTACATTTAATTTAATCGGCTGCATATCACACCACTCGTGTGCTTTGTTGTGCCTCAAAGTGCATGAGAGGTACAACATTAAGGGCTGTAGGGTTTAACTGAAGGAAAAATTTCAAGCCAACAATTAAATGTTTATAGTTTCCACATCTATTTAAGAGATCAGAATTTAAACCAATTCTTTCTTTCTGGTACAAACGCAATGCATGTTTATGTCAAGATCACCAACATAACAGTTTAAAAAAAACCAAAAACTTATCCGTTCCTTGAAAATGAAATGGCAAACCTTTAGAATTCGGAATGTGAGCATTCACGGACTAGGTTCGCTCTTCTAGATGCAGATGTAATCTCAGACAAATGGTGATTTATATATAATATAAACCCATCTACTATCAATGGCAAAACCACACGACCGTCAGTCCCACTTAATAAAACAAATAGGAAATTTCGTTATGGTTGTGGCCTTCTCAATTAATGAGAAATGACTCAAGAATTGTCGCGGCATTATAGGTAGCATGACTGGTGACCTTTCCTTTGAGATTGAAATACTCTACAAGGTGTAGGCACTTAAAAATGGTAAAAAGGCAAGACTCAAGATAGAATATAACAATTAGATCATTGTTGTATACATTAAAAATAAGAAAAAAATATTTAGATTAGAGAATCAAAATCTTGTAAGACAATTGTTTGTTTCTTGTTGTAATAAATTCTCCTCTTTCACAATTTACTTGATTGTTGTGTGATCCATTAAATTTCATATTGTCCATATTTTTCGTCTTTAATTATTTGGCTGATCTCTCAACAAGTGATATCAAAAGGTTCTTGATATGAGGTTGGTTCATAACAAACTAATAGGAGAAAACATCAAATGGATATGATGTAAACATGGAAATGTACATGAGAAGATCATCATTATCGAAACCGTGACATTAGGACTCAGGGACGGAGATAGGGGTGGCCTGTAGCCCACCCTTGCCCAAGCCCAGTCTCTGAAAAAAAAAAAAATTTTTGTTGAAGCCCAATTATCCTTTCCAGCCCACCCTTGCCCAAGCCCACCCTTTGAAAAAAAAATTGGAGAAAGCCCTAGCCCATTTGAAAAATTGAAAGCCCAACCCACCTAAAATTAAACCCAATTCCCAATCCGACCCATTTACCCAAAACGCGAACCTCTCTCTCTCTCACAATCTCACACGACTCCCTCTCTCACTCTCTGCTCTCGCCTCTCTGCCTCAAAGCTGCGAAAGGCAGCCAAGCTGCCAAACCATTCCGTTCGTCCCTCTCTAGTCTGCTCTCTCTCTGTCTTACTCTCTGAAACCTAGAAGTGTGAAACGGCGAAACCTTTCCTCCAACCGTCCGCCGAAGCCGAACGCCGTCTGTGACTGAGTCTGTGAGAAAGGTAATTTTTTTTGGTTTTTTACTGATTGTTGATAGTTTATACTTGATATAATGATACGTACTTGAGGCTGGAGGCTGGAGCTGTAGTTTTTTTACTGAATTTCTTTTATTGGAGCTGTGATTTTGTGTGGACTGTGGACACTGGACCGTGTGGAGTCTGTGGACATTTTCCACATTTACTGTCTTTGTGTGTTTGAATGTAGTGTGGCCTGTGGGGATTGAATTTGTGTGTTTGAATGTGGGGATTGAATTTGTACCAGGTTGAATTTGTGTGTTTGAATGTGCCTTAGCCTTACTGCCTTACCAGTTACCAATATCACTCTTCAATTTAGTTTTTGAATTGAATTTGGAAGTGTCTGAGTCTCAATTAGTCTGCATTGGAAATTGATAGCACA